GGAATTCATTTTTAAAACCATCAATAATCAATCAATTAAAACAATTTGATGTGGAGGGGGGGGGGTGCTTCAAATTAGTATTGTTAAATGGTTCTATCTAGCCGATTTTTTCGAATTAATATTTTCGCCAAAACAATATTATGCAAAGCCTCGAGATTTCGTTGATAGGTGTTCCAAATCTTTCTGCCATTCATGAGCAAAATCTTCAGGCTCGCGTAATAAAGCGGCCGTTTAACAGACACTACCTCAAATCAATAACGGAAATATTATGTTATGTATTTTGTAAAAAATGTTTAAATTTGAAAGAAAAAACAATTTCTGGTTTTATTTAAACAAACGATTATCATTAACGGAATAAAATACAGCAAAAAAAAGAAACGTTATTTTTTTTTAGTAAATAATTTATGAATTTATTTTATATTTTTTTTTCTTTTATTGGATAAAATATTTCGAAATCAATAAATCAATAGAGAGGGGGGTTTGTCTTTGTCGGAATAAAAAAAAAATATAAAATGGGATTAGTTTTAGCAAAATAGAAATTCCTCATTATTAATATATTTTTTTTCCAGTTTTAATGTTCGGTTTATTAATGATGGGGAATGAATAAATTTTAGGCTCCTTTGTCCGAATAAACCCCAGCCATGCTTTTCGTACAAAAAAAAATAATTAGCGGAAAGATAACAAATGAAACAGCTAAGGAGCGAACAGTTAACCCTGTAATCCGTGGTAACCCGATAAGGAAAATAGGGAGAGGCCAAGTCAAACACTTTTTTTAAAAAAATAAATAAATAATGAGGGAATAAGGTTAAATTAAAGCAATACGACAATGGATCATATTTGTGCTATTAAATTACTGCAAATTAAACAAATATTCGATATTGATTTACATCGACGAACGAGGGAACTATTAAAAAAAAATTACACCCAAATATATCTAATGCCTATTACAGGGTTCGGCCCTTAAAAATCATCATTTCCAAGCCATAATTTTTGCTGTATTATGTAAAACTTGTTTGAAATGGAAAATATGACCAGTAAATGAATATTAAATGTCCAATTATATGATTTTCCAACTGATTTTTAAATTTAGATCGGCTCGGCCCAGATTTTGTAATCTACACGGCCCCCTTTGTCCGGGCCAGTAAGTCTGTTAATACAAATATGGATTTTGTTCCCCTTCTTGATCAAGATTTAAAATATGCCATAATCCCGTGGCCAAGGTATTAAGCTATTATATATAAGTTAGGCCTCATTTTTAATGAGCGCGATGATGGTTAGGTTATAAGAGATATAGTATATAGTAGTAGAGGTCGATCATGGCCCGCCCTGATAACTAAACCTGCGGACCGGCAGATAAATAAATTTTCCAAGCCAGGCCAGAAGAATTTGGTAAAATATTTCCATCGACCAGGATGAAGTTTAGAAAATGGTTTTTAAAGCTGATAATTATGCAAATTTGTACATTTTCCCTCATAAAAAAATTTATTACCGGGCCAGACAACTTGTTTGAAATTATTTTAAGGGCCAGACTGGGTAAAAAATTTACAAATAGGGTCAAACTTTTCAAAATACATCTAGTATAGAGGTCTGAAAGGCCCAGCCGGGTAGGTCAAATAATTTATTTGGCTAGATTATTTATAACTTTGGATATTTTGATAGAATTTATAATCCATGAAGTGTAGTGTTTTTAATTTAACCCCACTCCCCAATATTATAAATATTTGTTTATTTACATATATTTCGGGTTTGACCTTTATTTTAGGGAAAACCGAACCGACCCATACCGGATAATCTTGTTAATTGGACGGGCCGGGCAAATGCTAAATTCTAACAGGGCATAGCCTGAAAGTTCTGCCATTAGCGGACATCTACTCTCGTATATAGGATAAAATTTTGTTCAATTTTGCATATAAATGTTATTGACCAGATGATGAATATTTTGTCCATAAATAAAAAAAATATATATATATACGAGAGTGGTCGATTGGGCTGATTCCTTTCATGATATTAAATATTGATCACAAAAAAAAAGAAGAATATTTAAAAATAAAAAAATTGTCATTTTAATGTATACAATATTTATCTCATGGTATCAAACCATTAGTGGGAATCACTTATTTATCGAAATATTTTTTCATAATACAGGCATTTTTTTAAGAGGGGGGGGGATTGTTGAAAATGAAAATAATATTATGCAAATACAAACTGAAAATAAGTTGATAAAGTTAGTTGTTGATGATGTCAAACAAAAATATTATATATTTTTAATAGTTTATTTTCAAAGGAATAATTATTTTTTAAAATCAATATTTTTCGAAGTTCGCCAATATCGTACTAAGAAAACGTAAGAATTGAGCTACGAACACGATATATCTAGTGGATTTTTGTTAAAGTAGCGCCGCTAATTTTTTTTAAGCGCTACCTTTTTTTGAAAAGATTTAGATAGCGCATCAATTTTTGAGAAATTGAATAAGGTTTATTACATAAATCTAGATTAGACTGATGATATAAAATTAAGCGGGAAAGTTTTCTTTTAATAATATTAGGATTAGGGCTGTGCCGATATTTAACGTTTTCCAAAAATATCGGAACGGGCCGATACCTGTAAAACCCGATCCGATCTTTTTACTTTTCTTTTTTTGTTATTTTATTTTATGTTATGTATATTTATTTTACATTATTATAATATTTTCTAAATAATTTTTTAATTTTATTTCGTTTTTAAAAAAGATTTATAGTATTTTAAAAGTTTTTTTTTTATAAAAATAGAAAGGAACACCCAAAGTTTTATTTATTTTAAATCTTTTTAAATAACGCCAATTTTTTTATTTATACTTTAAATAAAAGAATTTTTTTAAATATGGTATCTGAATTATGGAAATATTTACAAAAGACAAAATTAATTTTGCAAAATGCGTTATCTGCGGAATAATCTGAGTCCCTTCAGAGATATAGATAGTCCATATCGTAGAAGCTTATTCCCAGAAAATCTAGAGGCTCTCATATTTATGAAAACAATCTAATATATTATAATTTTATATATTAAATATTACAATTTTATAATTCCAACATCAAATCTATATATTATTAAATATATATTTTTTTATTAAAATTAAATTATTCATAATTCAATTTTTTGCATAAAAAATATTGATTTCTTAATTACATTTCAAACGGGGGTGATTAAAAATCAGTAAAAATATCAGATCGGTATCGGATCGGTTTTAAAGCAATATCGGATTGGATCGGTGAAAAATATGTGGATCGGCACAGCCCTAATTAGGATTATATTTTATGTAATTTAAACTTATCAGAATATAAAGATAGTCACAATTAGTTTTCTAATTGGATTGGTAATGGTTTAAGTTGCTTTCCTATTTTACTTCTTATATATTTGATAAAAAAGGTTTCATTGGCTAATTTTACTTTTATTAAGCGGATTCTGAAAAATCACTTGTGAGGTTATGAAATTTAGTCATTAAATTTAATTTCCAACTTTGAGCAATATAAATGAATAAGACATATATGGTAATAATAAAGTCTCAGAAGAATACTTTTTAAGAATATTCCATCCATTCATGTAAATAAAGCAATTTAGTGGATGTTCAAAAAAAATATTTTGAGGAAAAGAAATAAGCATAATCCTTTCCCTTCAATTATAATCATAAAAGTTTAGTTTAAAAATCAGGGATAGGAAGAACAAAATTTCTTGAACCTGAAATGGCAAAAAGAGCAGAGATAGATTCCAAGGAAAGACAGCGTGAAAAAGTATAATTTGTATAACAAATTTCCTCTCTTTCTGTTTTTTCTTGTATTTTATTATCAGAAATACCAAAAGGAATTTCCTAAAAAGTTAGATTCATTTTAAAAAAGATTCTTGAAAATGAATTTGCCAATTAAATTATAAGAATATAAAGAAGAGGTTTTACTTGAAGATCAATATCAGATAAAATAAAAAAAATTCTAAAATTATGATTAGTGGATTTTCATAACATTATCTAAAAATTTGTGTAATTTATGATTTTTTTTAGTGTAAGTTTTTTAATTAAAAATAAAAGTAATATATTATGTGGAAAAATTCACATGGATTTTTTTTTGGTGGACGAATAATTTTTCAAAATTATGCAAAAATAAAATAAAAATTTAACAAAGAAAAATAATATAAACAAAGTGTTTAGGAGTAAAATCCTTGAAGATCATAAATCATTTCCATGATATAAAATTAATAATTGAAATTTAAAAATTCATTATGGTTATATAAAAATTTGTTCTTAATGTATAAATAATGATCCATGAAGTTTGTTAAGTTTTAAAATGAATAAGTATTGTTAACTGTATTGTATTTGGGAACATATTTCAAACAAAAATGAATATAGGTGTAGTAGAGGTTTCCAAATGGGTGAATATTTAACCTGTCTACTTGTGCATTGCTTTTTTTCTAAAATTTGCTCAACCATTTATTTCAAAATTGGTTTAGCCCATTCACCCAGCATTTAAAAAATATCTGATTGATTAGTTTAATACCTTATTTCGCTTCAATATATTTTATAATTAAACTCCTGAAAAATATTTTCCTTACCCACCATCTGCCTACCTAAATAATATTTTTTTAAATAAAAGGGGTGGTGGGGGGCACTAAAACTCATACATTGTATAGCTGTGTAGTAGTAAATACAATCCTTAAAAAATAAATGCTGTTAAATAAAATATTTTGTAGTCATATAAATTATTTTATAAGTTTATATTTAATAATATAAATTTAAAAAGAGACCTATAATTGTAAATTATTGATGGTTTTCTAAAAAATATTAAAATAATTCATTGCTAATAAAAATGTAATTTTGAAAGACCAGTTCTATAAATCCTTATAATTGTGGTAAATCAAAACTCAAATCTATGTATTGTATAAAATGTTATTGGTAAAATATATCCTATCATAAATATATATTTAAAAATTTATCTACAAAGCAAAAATTATGATTTGATATAATATAAATTACCGCTTTTAATGCTGATAATCTGTCTTTCATATGTTGAATAGAGTCTTTATATGACAAAAAATTTGATAACAATTATGCGGCTTATACATTAAATTTGTAGAATTTAATTTATCCCATTATTTTAATTAATATTTATAATTATAAATTTGAAGATTTTATCAAAATCGATAGCATACATACATAATTCCATTACAATACATCCTCGATGTATTACTTTAAAGAATAAAATAATTATATTAAATCATACAATTTTCAAAAATATAAGTCTAAATATAATTTATAAGTAGATTTTTATTGAAATTTAATAACTAGTGGTTCCATTTCTATCTGGTTGTTATTTCATTCTCCCCACGATAATTCCTTTATCGTATTTTGTTATGGGGATCAAAATCCTCAAAATTGAAGGTTTATTAAATTTGATAAATTATTCACTCCTAAATTGGCTAAATTATCTACGACACTCCAATTCATAAGATGACATTTCCTTTTCATCAGCACTATTCAGGATAAAGCATCCACATAGTAAAGAATTTTATAATGATAAATAAAAAATGATTCACTGTAAGACACAGAAGAACCTGATAAAATATCAGAATTTATTGTTTTTTGTCAATTGATTAATACTAATAAGTAGTGTTGTTAAACAGTTCGATTTGAGCCGATTTTTTAAAAAGGCTAACTCATTATTGTAGCCCAGCGTCTACATGACAGGATTTTCACTAGATGTATAACCCCCTTCAAAAACCTATGCCTACCCTCTAAAAAATTCCCAGCGTCTTCAGCAGCGATGTTTCCTTATTTTTAATTTCACATTTTTAATTATAATGATACATTTTATCTCTACTACCAACTATCGTCATTTTGTGAATATAAAGATTTTTTATAAATAAATTCAATTAAAACCCCTATCATTTACAATGAATTCATTATTATGAGCATGCTGAAAATGTCTAAATACATATGTAAGGATAGCATAAAATTTTATTTGAAAAATAATGTCTATGATTGTTTGTAATATATAGATTTGGTTGATGAATTGTATTATAATAGGTCTAAAATAAAAGTATTAATTTTTACAGCAATAAATTTTGTCCTATGTGATTTCAAAATTTAATATAACCCCCCAAAAAATGTATCTTACCCCATTAAAGCCGCCTACCCCCCTCAAACTATAGGATGAGTAAGCTCCTACCCCCCCCCCCTCGTTCATGTTGTCTCTGTTGTAGTCGGACTAATATTATCTAAGCCTCCAGATTTCCACAGTAGATGTCCAAACCGTTGTGTCATCTATGAGCAAGATCTTCAGCCTTGCATATTATTAATCAGGTTAAAATAGTTAATCGGTTTTAAAAATAGGTTCAAATCAAGCTGTTTAAGAACACTACTAACAATCTATCTATTTGAAAACTTCAAATTACTATTTAAACAATTTTTTTATATTGTACTATGCCTATAGTGCTGTTAAATCAGTTCAATTCTATCAATCATAATTCGCTTAGTCTTGAGGCAAGAGTTACCTTTTTTAAGATTGAGCTATCCTTAAGTTATAACCTCGATCAAGAATAAGATGATAGTATGGGCTTAAAATTCTGTTTCTTTTTAGAGACAATTCATAGCCAGCTAAAATTAGAGTCATTTAAAACATCTCTGCTTTCTGGTGGTGAACATCATTCTATGCATAAATAAAGCAGAGGCGAAAAATATATATGTATTTATAAAAATTTTAATGAAAATTTGGTATTTAAAATATTAATATATTAATGATATATTTTTTATAAAATATTTCAATGTCGAGAAAATTTCCTCACCCTTATAGTCAGTGCCACTTATATAGAGTAAAATTATAAAAAGCTGGTCATCACTGTCGATTATAATGACTTCCTCTTCGTCAACCAATACCTTTTTTATTAGCATTTATTCTAGTTTTAATATTTCATATTTTCAAAAAAATTTTTACCTTTCATTATATCCATAAAATTGTTAAATGGAAATTTTTAATATATAAAAATTGTTAAATGAAATTTTTAATTTAGTTAATAAAAAAATATAATATGAGAATTTGTCGATTCAACAAAGAGACTCCCTAGGATCCCTTCTTTTTTAGTCTTGGAATCAATGACATAATAATCAATAAACTCCTCTTGTACTCTATCGCTTCATGCTTGGTACAGATGATATAATTTTAAGTGGTTCCAGCAGTGAAATTGATAAAGCACTTAACATAATTCACAAATCCGAATTCATCCAATTGAATTCAAAGGCTCCAAATACTCATAATTTCAAATTCACTGCTCTTGAGGAATTAACACATCTAGGTTCTCCTTTAGGAGGACATGAAGCAATTTGTATCTTCCTTCACTCCATCTTGACATCACCTTTAAACTGGAGGACATCTATACTCCGCTCCCTTTACATACTTTTTCTTATTAAAAAAATTTCTTTTTTACTAAGGATTCTTCATACACTCCGCTCAAAACCCATTTTTAAATATCCTTCTCCATTAAAAACTTACACGGAATAAAAGACTTAACCAAAGAAATAATAAACCTAAGATTCAACTGGGCCCAAGTTTCGCTCCCTGCCAAATTCGGTAGACTTGGCATTAGATCTCCTTAAGACTATGACCTAGCAATAACCTCTTTCATATCAAGTAGTTTCTTGTCAGACATATAACCAACGCCCATCAACCTAAAGAAGACCCTTTCTTAATTGAGGCCATAAATATGGAAAACTTGAATAAATGTTGATTCTCATCCCACCACAACCCATAGATAGAAGGACTGGGATGCTCCGGTAGTTGCTCGCTGTGCTGAAACTCTCTTTGTAATGAACTGATTGCACCCTATTATCTTCCTTACTCAATGGTACTGGGCATGAGTTTCTCGAGGCCATTCCTTCTCTCAATCTTCAACCTCAACTTTCCAACACCGAATTTACCTACGCCATCAGTATTCGTCTAAATTACTAAATCATCCTCCCTTACATCTGCTCTGGTTGCAACTCGCCCGTTGACACTAATGGAAGACTAAACAGTGTCTATCCTGCAATGATTGATTCATCAGACACAGGAATTCAATCATCAAACATACCTTGAAATTAGCACAAATACCAGCTATATTAAAACCCCAGGGTCTTTTCAGATCTGATGGTAAACGACCTGAAGGAATCACTCAAATTCCGTGGAGGAGAGGCCAATTATTGGTATGGGACTATTCATATATTGACCCTCAACATCATTGACCAGAAGGAACAGCTTAAAACCTTGAAATACACAGAAATCATTAATGACCATTATTTCATTACAATCATTTCCACATTTGCCACCTTCGGCAAACCTGCCTTAGCTTTTTTCAAAAAGAGAGGATCTCAAATTAGCAAACACTCTACATCAGCTTAAATAGTAGTCTACTAGCCAAAGAGCTATCCTAGACCGTTTCTACTTATTATTTTTTTCCTCGCTTTATATCATCCCCGGTGTTCATTGTTTTAAATTTTTTGTACATATTCCTTTTGTCCCATTTTAATATAGATTTTATTTATACGTTCAAATAAACGAATTGATAATAAATATAAAATGAAAATATGAAATAAATATAAAAATAAAATAAAAATAAAATAAATAAAAATAAAAATAAAAATAAAAATAAAAATAAAAATAAAAATAAAAATAAAAATAAAAATAAAAATAAAAATAAAAATAAAAAATAAAAATAAAAATAAAAATAAAAATAAAAATAAAAATAAAAATAAAAATAAAAATAAAAATAAAAATAAAAATAAAAATAAAAATAAAAATAAAAATAAAAATAAAAATAAAAATAAAAATAAAAATAAAAATAAAAATAAAAATAAAAATAAAAATAAAAATAAAAATAAAAATAAAAATAAAAATAAAAATAAAAATAAAAATAAAAATAAAAATAAAAATAAAAATAAAAATAAAATAAAAATAAAAATAAAAATAAAAATAAAAATAAAAAATAAAAATAAAAATAAAAATAAAAATAAAAATAAAAATAAAAATAAAAATAAAAATAAAAATATGGAAAAATAAAACTTTTTGTTTCTCTATCTTCTAAGCTATAAAAACTTTATCTGGTTATAAAAAAAATTATGAGAAAATTATAATTTATGACTAAAAGGAAATTAATATTTACCACTTTTGAAATTTTTTGGCGGAGAGCCTCCCTTCTCAAAATTTGGAAAGGGGGCTAAAAATATTTAAAAATTAGCGGTTGGGCTTAGCCCTCTTCCGGTAACCCCCTTCGTAATACATCCCTGGTAACAGATGAGATGATAATTAATAAGAGACTAGTCATTAGGAATGTAATAGGTGCAAGGCTTCTCCTGCTAATAAAAAAAAGGCAGAATTATATGACTTCAAGGACAATCCAATATATAGGAATAAAGGAGGAATGGAAAGAACTAGTATTAATTCAAGGGTGATATTTATTTCAGAATATATGGGAACACATAAGGAAGAAAAACTGGTACAACGGCTTCTAGGAACAATAGAAGATATAGATCTAATAATAATATCTATAAACACCGCTTAAATGTCACAACTCTACAACATAGACTCTAAAATAGATTTAAATTACACTGGAAACTAGATCTCATTAAAACGCTCATTTATTGGTCAGCAAAATAACTTTCAAAAAAAATATAATGTTAAAAAAATGAAGTAATTATAAAACTTCATTCATTTCTTTTTTTGAGACAAAGGAATCATGCGATATCTACATTATAACAAGCCGACATTTAACAAATAATAATCAAAATAACTCCAATAAAAATATCATAACCTGAAAAAATGATTGCTTATAATGGATTTTATATACAAGACCTACCTGCTTTAAGTAACTATACCCCTCTTTGTTGTCTTCGCTCCAATTTCCCAATGCAGTTATTTTCTCCACCACCACCAGACATCAATAATTATTTTCCTTTTATTAATTTTTCAAGAATTCGAATGATTTGTTGAACCACCATTAAATTATTTGTATGGTTCTTTCTTAGCTCCTTGATTTGCCTCATTTTGTATCTATGGCCACAGATCCCATTTGCACGGATAATATCGGTTCTGCAGGTATTGGTAACGCGAGAGGGGGCGGGATAGGCGCATTTTGCTTTGAAATTTTTTGAAAGGGGTAGAGGTAGCGTCTACATGAGCG